TCTATCACTCTAGTGTCAATACTAAATTGTAATTATTTTGCACTATGGCCTATTTATTGCCTTACCTCCATAACTTACAACATTTGCACACACTGTATATATATTTTCTGTTGTATTTTTGACTTTATGTTTTGTTTTACCCCATATGTAACTCTGTGTTGTTGTTTTTATCGCACTGCTTTGCTTTATCTTGGCCAGGTCGCAGTTGTAAATGAGAACTTGTTCTCAACTGGCTTACCTGGTTAAATAAATGTGAAATAAATTAATGAAAAACAACAGCAAGCAGCTGACACTGAGGAGTCCATAAACACAAACAACTTCTGGCAAAATTGGAAAAAACTAAAAAGATCAAAGCAAGAAGAATTAGCGATACAAAATGGTGACATATGGACAACCCATTTTAAAACACTCTACAACACCGTTCAGATTGACACCAAAGCAGAACAATGACAAATTCATGAGAAGTTGAATGGATTAGAAAAAGCTATAAAGGACAATCAAAATCCACTGGACTCCCCAATTACTGACCAGGAGCACTATAAGAAACTTCAGGCCCTCAAATTTAAAAATGCATGCAGACCTGATGGCATCCTAAATGAGATGCTCAAATTCACCAGCGCAAAATGTCAATTGGCTATATTAAAACTGTTTAATTTGATCCTGAGTGTATTTGTGTGAACAGTAACCTGGGGAAGGTTTTCTGTAGTATTATAAATGTAAGAGTTCTAAACTTCCTTAATAAGCACAATGTCTTGAGTAAAAGCCAAATTGGATTTATACTAAAACATTGCACGACCGATCATATTTACACCCTGATAGATAAACATGTCCACCAAAATAATACCAAAATGTACGCTTGCTTTTGTCACGGATTCTGCCGAGACTTCGCTTCCTCCTGGCTCGGGCAGGCTTCGGCGTTCGTCGTCACCGGAGTACTAGCTGCTGCCGCTCTATGTTATATGTTTCTATGTTCACTTGATTGTTGTCTGTTGTTTTGCACCTGTTCCCCATTATGTTAGTTTGTCTTCCCTATTTAACCTGTTCCCCATTATGTTAGTTTGTCTGCCTATTTAACCTGTTCCCCATTATGTTAGTTTGTCTTCCCTATTTAACCTGTTCCCCATTATGTTAGTTTGTCTGCCTATTTAACCTGTTCCCCATTATGTTAGTTTGTCCTCCCTATTTAACCTGTTCCCCATTATGTTAGTTTGTCTTCCCTATTTAACCTGTTCCCCATTATGTTAGTTTGTCTGCCTATTTAACCTGTTCCCCATTATGTTAGTTTGTCCTCCCTATTTAACCTGTTCCCCATTATGTTAGTTTGTCTTCCTATTTAACCTGTTCCCCATTATGTTAGTTTGTCTTCCTATTTAACCTGTCCACGTCCACTGTTTGGTGCGTGTTTATTGGATTGTACGAGTGTCATTAGTGTGAGCGGGTTTTGCTCCTCCTTTGTTGTTTTGGAGGGTTTTCCTTGTATTTCTTTACTACTCAGTAAAGTGGATCTTCATCTCATTCTGTGTCCTGTGCTTGACTCTGGCCTACCGCATTCCACCGACATTCGTGACAGCTTTATCGACTTCCATAAAGCTTTTGATTTCTATTTGGCATACAGGTTCTACAAAGTTCCTGAAAGCGGTGTAGGTGCTTTCCAAGGCATGTTTCATGGTCTGTACGAACCTCTCCGGCCGGCCCGTTGATGATACGCCGCGGACCTGATGTGTTGTTCACCTGTAGGAATGTAGACATTTATTTTGCTGCGGTCCGTTGTCGGCCCGTTGTCGCTAACGAGTTGGAGTTTCGATTCCGGACCGACAAAACACTTCTCCAAGCTTCTCGATGGTCTTCTCTGCAGTAGTAGAGCGGATGGCCACTTGTTATGAGGATCCATGACCACGAGAAACATTCTGTCTTCAAATGGACCTGTGAAGTCTATGTGTACGCGTTGCCACGCCTCCTCTGGCCAATCCCACGCCTCCTCGGGCCAATCCCACGCCTCCTCTGACCAATCCCACGCCTCCTCTGGCCAATCCCACGCCTCCTCTGGCCAATCCCACGCCTCCTCTGGCCAATCCCACGCCTCCTCTGGCCAATCCCACGCCTCCTCTGGCCAATCCCACGCCTCCTCTGGCCAATCCCACGCCTCCTCTGGCCAATCCCACGGATGAAGAGGTGCAAGTTGAGGTATGTCGCCAACCTTCTGAGGTACATGTTTTTGCTTTCTCTTCAATGCTTCCATCCAATCCAGGCTACCAGAAGTAGCTTTGTGTGCATTCCATAATAATGACCTGAGTGTAGCGGTTGCAACACTGGTTTCCTCAGCGAAGGCCGGAATGATAACTCTCCTCCCCCACAGCAGACAACTGGACTGTACTGACAGCTCAGTTCTCCTGGAAAGGCAAGGTTTCAGCACCGGAGCATGCGGTTTTACCTTTGATGATGATGTCCATCACTTCAGATAACACCGGGTCGTTTGTATATTTTTATGTTTATGATAACACCACAATTGTTTGAAGTAGAAGATGTCCACATGACTCTGGTTTGACCACGGGCAACATGGAAAAGTCCATCTGCGTTGCAGTGCAGTTCTGATGTTGTAGGTTTGTGCTGACAACAACAAAGCCATCTCTTCCCTTCTTCCTTCTTGCTGGCAGCAGTGACGGAAACCCAGGATGTGGTCAAAAGATGCTCATCAGCAGATGATGATCTGTAAGGGTGAACTTCCTCCTGTAAGGGTGAACTTCCTCCTGTAAGGGTGAACTTCCTCCTGATAAGGGTGGAACTCCTCCTGTAAAGGGTAACTGCTCTTCCTGTAAGGGTGAACTTCCTCCTGTAAGGGTGAACTTCCTCCTGTAAGGGTGAACTTCCTCCTGTAAGGGTGAACTTCCTCCTGTAAGGGTGAACTTCCTCCTGTAAGGGTGAACTTCCTCCTGTAAGGGTGAACTTCCTCCTGTACAGATACTGGTGAAGCTATGCCTAGGGCTTATCGTTCTGTTTGTACGTAGTTAATTTCTGCTTTGTTCAATGTCCGATGCGGAAAGCGATCGGCTGCTCTTCACCTGAAGGCATGATATGGGACTAGCATCTCAAGCTAATTGTGCAATGACAGGTTGAAGTCAGTGCCTCAGATTTCAGTAGTGTTTTCCCTTTTTCACTAATGTTTCCTCGCATTGTTTCTGTCCATTTCCATGTTTTATCCTGACAACACAGGGTTAACTGTGACTTTAAATATCCAGATTCCACCATCCTTCTTAAGGACTGGTATGATGGGTGTTGCCCATTCACTCAAGCAGACCATGACTGATTTAAGCATGCAAATCTTGGTGGGGCAAAAAAAAGAAAGTGAGATGCCAGCAAAGCCACAACACAACACAACACTAAACGATACATTAATTGCACTATAACGGTGACAAACGGTGCCCACAAACTGTTAGGGCCTCCATAAAGCTGTCCCAACAGCAGAGTCCCAACACCTTACCTCTGCTACACCTGGCTATCAGAGGAGCCTTGTCTGGCAGCGAAACAGTTCATTCCGAGTTGGATGAAAGTTCAAAACGTATTTTTCAGTCGTAGCTCGTTTTTCCCGAGTTCCCAGTTGTCTTGAACTACTTCAGTCAGATTTTGCAGTTCCGAGTTAACAGTTGTTTTGACGCGGCACAAATCATGCTTCATTGACAGCATGACCAATGTTGAATGTTTATAATTTTAAACTTGGAAAAGAGACCCTTAATCTTAGACTTGAGACCACACACCCACGCTTTGCAATGCTTGCAGTTAGCCACGGATTCCTTCCAAACTACTCATTGTTGAATTTGCGATTTCCAACTTGTTGTGTAATGTTTATGTCCAATGGCCGATGAGCACCGATACGTTTGATCTATAATTTCTCTTCATTATTTCTCTTCATATAACAAGGATTAAAAAGGATTTGCCAGTAGATTGTCGACTTGATTCTTGATGACGACTGCTAGCTAAGATTTTGAAAGTATGACGTTGACACGATCAGTCCAATCAAAGCTACTGTAAATACAACATGATTTGACGTCATTCTATCTGTGGCCAATGACCTTGAGCCTTCTTAGATGGGCACTTCTAATGTAACTCTATGGCAGCACCCAAGTGGCTTGAATTTTCGAGCTCTCCCCGTACATTTTGCGGTGCCGTAGTGTCCCCATGAGTGACAGAACACTGAGCCAATCACGGCGCAACGCTCCGTATTTTCCACTGGTTGTCCCCACCACCACAGAAAGCACTGAGCTAGGCTGAAACACCTGCATTTTGGAGCTGCCTCATTCAAGAAAAAAAAAAAGAGACCATGTTTGTATGCAGCTTTATTAACTCAATAGTATATATATTTTTTTCACATTGTTTGCAAACTGATATGTGACACGTTTTAATGCCAAAATAACATACAAAACATGTGGTGCTTAGCCCTGAATGACGGGTCGCCTTTGAAGCTGACTGGCTCCAGTACTTTGTTCTTGACTAAAGCCTCCAAGTCAGCCTCAACTTTTGGTCTGATAGCACAAGGTACAGGTTGTGCATTCAGAAACGTTGGTTTGCTGTCTGGCTTAATGCTAAGCTTCACTGTAATGTATTTAATGCTTCCCAGCTCTCCATTAAATACTCCTCCATGTTTCTTTAAGATGGCGGGTAGGCCTTAGTCTCCATGTGTCATTGTATGCAATGATGGCCAGTCCAGTGTGATTTTTCTCCAGCCCCAGTAGTGATTGATAGTCTCCTTTCCTGACGTAGTGGCAGCTTTTCAGTTTGTCCTTTTTAACTGAACTGTGACATCAGTGACGCCTCTCACGGTGACAGATTCACCTGTGTAAGTCTTTAACACGATGTGCGCTGGCTGAAGTGGAAGTTGTGTCTGACACGAGATACCGCTGCCCCTGTGTCGAACAGAGTATGATACCGCTGCCCCTGTGTCGATCAGAGTATGATACCGCTGCCCCTGTGTCGATCAGAGTATGATACCGCTGCCCCTGTGTTGATCAGAGTATGATACCGCTGCCCCTGTGTCGATCAGAGTATGATACCGCTGCCCCTGTGTCGATCAGAGTATTATACAGCTGCCCCTGTGTTGATCAGAGTATTATACAGCTGCCCCTGTGTCAATCAGAGTATTATACAGCTGCCCCTGTGTCAATCAGAGTATTATACAGCTGCCCCTGTGTCAATCAGAGTATTATACAGCTGCCCCTATGTTGATCAGAGTATTATACAGCTGCCCCTGTGTTGATCAGAGTATGATACCGCTGCCCCTGTGTTGATCAGAGTATGATACCGCTGCCCCTGTGTCGATCAGAGTCTGTGAGGGGAGTTGAGTGGTCAGAAATCCCACTCATCGCTCACGGAGCAGTGCTCATTTCCAACTGCTCCGCTAAAAACCACTCCTCGCTCATAGGAGAAAAAAACTGCCGCTCCAACTTCAAAATCTCAATTTAACCAACACCCATCTATTTTTGTGACTACCTGGACCTACCATTTGGTTTTGAAGTATTGAAACCAAACCCTATGATTTAAATGAAAAGTATTTTAATAAACAACATGAAAAGGTGACAGTAAGAAGCGCTCATCATTTGAAACAGGCTACATGTCGTATTAAACAGCATATAAACACTCTAAATAGGTCAGGAGACAGACAGGGAGCCTAAGGAGGAACGAAAATGAATTATTTAGGCTATATTATTATTGATTATTTCAAGGCTAAGCCTACACAGAAATACATTGTGAAACATTAGCGAGAGCAACACACTAGACTGGTAGGGACATAAAGGGCTCAGCATTTAAACGACATTTCATTGTATTAAATCATTATAGTCTATAAATTGTGCATACAGTCTGTGACTTAGAATTAAATACAAATTAAACGGAAAATGCCTCATTAGGCTCAGTGCCGTTGAATTCATTTTTAGAAACAGGAGTTTGGCTGGAGTCTGTGGCTTCAGGCTCATGCGATGGTGCCTGGAGAGCCGTGCTTGCACAGCCACTGGGGATGCTAAACACCCTTCGGGACACTCTTGCCAGGCTGGGCAGGGCTGCGGAGTTGTTGTTTTTTTGTTTTCTATAGGTAGACCTAAAGGTTTTTAGGCAAAATAACCCAATCAAAATTTGAAAGCTCCTTCAAAGAGGTAATATGCCAGGCCTATTGGGCCAAAATTAATGATAGCCTATTGTATAGATAATAGAATGAAAATGAACGAAACTTTTAAGAGATCTGATTTTTTTGTCTATAAATACTTTGCTACAATGACACATTTAGCTAGCTACCCAGCTCCTTCCTTTCTGTTAGCATGTGCAGGTTGTAAGTACACCATCATGCTTCCGGGGATACGTGTCTTTTCAGATTCCACAATGATTCTTTACTTTACTACATAACCAAACTCCATCTCTTGCTCTTAATCCTCATCCATGTAAATGTCACCTTGATTTTGCACCAGTGTGTTTTATCAGTTTCTTTATGGAAATATTTAGTGAACTCCATGACAGTAGCTAAAGCAAGGGGCTATAGCAGCGCACAAGTAGACTACAAATGCATGCTGGGATGGCGTGCCCTGAGCTCATGAAGTGAGCGCTACTTGGAGTGCTACTGGAGCAAAATTGGAGCGGGCGAGAAAGCTCACTCCACTCCAGCTCCTCTCTGCTCGAGTCTTCTTGGGTATGACGCTACAAGCTTGGCACACCTGTATTTGGGGAGTTTATCCCTTTCTTCTCCGCAGATCCTCTCAAGCTCTGTCAGGTTGGATGGGGAGCGTCGCAGCAAAGCTATTTTCTGGTCTCTCCAGAGATGTTCGATCGGGTTCGATGGCATTCAGGCCAAAGAGTTCAATCTTGGTTTCATCAGACCAGAGAATCTTGTTTCTCATGGTCTAAGAGTCTTTAGGTGCCTTTTGGCAAACTCCAAGCAGGCTGTCATGTGCCTTTTACTGAGGAGTGGCTTCCGTCTGGCCACTCTACCATAAAGGCCTGATTGGTGGAGAGCTGCAGAGATTGTTGTCCTTCTGGAAGTTTCTCCCATCTCCACAGAGGAACTCTGGAGCTCTGTCAGAGTGACCATCGGGTTCTTGGTCACCTCCCTGACCGAGGCCCTTCTCCCCCTGATTGCTCAGTTTGGCAGGGCGTCCAGCTCTAGGAAGAGTCTTGGTGGTTCCAAACGTCTTCCATTTAAGAATGATGGAGGCCACTGTGTTCTTGGGGACCTTCAATACTGCAGACATTTTTTGGTACCCTTCCCTAGATCTGTGCCTTCGACCTCATGGCTTGGTTTTTGCTCTGACATGCACTGTCAACTGTGGGACCTTATATAGACAGGTGTGTGCCTTTCCAAATCATGTCCAATCAATTGAATTTACCACAGATGGACTCCAATCACGTTGTAGAAACATCTCAAGGATGATCAATGGAAACAGGATGCACCTGAACTCAATTTTGAGTCTCATAGCAAAGGGTCTGAATACTTATGTATATAAAACGTTTTTTGTTTTTTTTACACATTTAATACATTTGCACATTTGCAAAAATGTCTAAAAACCTGTTTTTGCTTTAAATTAAGAAAAAAAATCAATGGAATACAGGTCTGAATACATTCCGAATGCACTGTAGTCTTGTGTCGCTCTCCATACGCACCAGTTTCCCCTCTAGTAAGGCAGAGACATAGTAGCCGTGCGGCCCCCCAGCAAGTCGGTGTATTCAGTGTGACGGCCTCCTCTTGTTCCATGGACCCACTACTCTACTGGACTCTACTGTATTGTGCTGTGGAAATACTGAAAGGAAATATTTCACCAAATCTACCAGTTATTGCTAAAAGATTTTAGGTTCCACAGAACAAATCAGGAAGAGGGAGAATCAGTGATAATGTTTGCGGCTGCATTAAATAAACTATCAGAGCACTGTGAGTTTAACGCTGTTCTAAAGTACACCTTCAGAGAAAGACTAGTGTGTGGGCTACGGAGTGAAACAATATCCCCATACGTTTTATGACCTGGCCTGTCTTGGCTGTAGCGGGTTTCGTAGCAAACCAAATGTCCCTGCCCCCATAACACAAAAAAAAAAAAAATGTATGCACAATTCAGACCGTTCTGTCTGAGCGCCACTGCTCAATACTTCCATCAAACTGTTCAATGTTTCCAACAATTTCAGACATTTTTTTCGTTTCTCAAAAGGCTCCTGATTGTCACTCACTTCAATATTGTCCTCAACCACTGCAAGGTTCTGTTCTGCCACGACAATATTTTCCTCAGTCATGTGATCTTCATTCACTTCACACACTGATGTTTCATCCTCAATTTCGCTAATTTAGCTGTTTTTAATTCCAATGTTCGTCTCATCAGTTGAATAAATGTAATTTCCTTTACTCACTCTATACTCACACTCCCTTTTTAATTACGTTGTTTTCCGCTCCGACGTCCGTCTCGAATGTATTGTGAATGTAAGGCCTGCATTTACAAATCAAGCATGAATTCATTACAGGCCTAATGATATTTCAGTTAGCATTGGTTTGTATTCCAACAGTGAACCTTTCGAAAGGCCTAATTGGCATATTTTGTAGTTCTCTAGGCTCTAGTTATTCATGCTGAGGGAGTTACAAGGGGAGCGAGGTTAGGGTTCTCTCCCTCTCTGTGTGTGTGCGTGCGCGTGCGCGTGCTTGTGCCTGCGTGCGTGTCTGAGGGGGAGGGGAAGTATTTTTTATATTATTTACCATATTATTGGTTGTTCACTTTGACATTTACACCCATATGTAACATTATAACTTATGAGACATACAGGAAATTACGCCATGTGTTTAATTCAATATTGGCTTTGGAGAGAAATGCACCTGTTGAAGAGTTGATGTTCATTTGTGTTTAAATCAATATCTGCAGATGTGATGAGGTGGTGCCATGTGTTACTGTCGCAACGTGGAGCTATGCGGATGTTCTACAGGATGTTTTTTGTCTGAGAGATAGCTACATTCATAGGTCGACCTTACAATTGTGGATATAGCATATCATTGAATCTTCTAATAATATAGCCTGCCATTTATGCTAATTTGTTTTCTTATTTGTTTATGCAGATATTGTTTGTTTGGGCAGATATTGTTCCATTCGTGGGTAGATTGTTCATGGAGTGTGATTGTGAATGTAGCTACTTACGTCACACAGGAAGGACAGGGAAAGAAACATATCAACATTTAAGGTGGCATTGTGATCCCTAAAGCAGCGTGCTGCGCTGTCCGTGGTGCTGAACACACGGCGTTCCTTCCTCAACTCTTCGTTGTTCTAGCGTCTAGTTTCTAAGCGCTCTGTTCCGTTCATGCACCAGAAATAGGTGAGACGACATTGTGCCCAATACTACACCCGTGTTTATGCACAGGTGTAGTGTGTTTATACAGAGATTGTCACCTACCTTACTCTGCCGTTTGAATTCGTTCTGGACAACACTGATGACGGGAATCTGAAGAGCTGACGCGATGAATTCCAACTTCACCAGTTCGTCCCTGGTCTGAGGAAAAGCCATCATAGCAGAAACTCCTTGGACTATAACAGTATGACAAACACTCTGTAGAAACGACATGGGGTCTTCACACACAGAGGAAGACGAGAAGGAGAAAGCGGGTAATTCCCCGAGCCCCGCTTCCACAGCCATCACCACCTCCAGTGAGAGATTATATGGTAACAGACCGACCATGCGGTTCAACGTCTCCATGGCTAATATGATAGAGTCCCTCGGCATGAACACACGACTCTCACTCTCCACCTGTTTGTACATATTTTTACTTTTAGTCCCCCGGTCTCTGTGTTGGTTGTTCCCCGTGCCTTTAGTCCGTAGGCTGCGTAAACCGTGGTCATTAACACTTTTGCTAATCTTTTCCAACTGTCTCTCCGCTGCCTCCCTCGAGCCTCCGTCCGTGTCCCATTCATCCACGGGGACAAGGGGTTCTTTCTTGCCCCTGAAGGTGGGATCGTGACGGAAGAGCCGCGGCTGTAAGTGCAGAGCCCCAACGCGCACCGTGTGACCGATCCGTTTGAGAATCTGACAGGGCTGCGGGTGGGAGAGACATTCTGGAATCAGAAAGCAGAGCAGCAATGTGCACGGTGCGAGAAAAGGAAGCCGCACACACCGACCAAAGGCACCCCAAATCCTGAGCCCAATCATTACTCAGACAGAGCCTTCCAACCGCACCGAAAAACGGAGCTCCACTCGTTCCCCTGCCCCCCCGTGATGTCCCCGCGCAGCACCGGTTTGATCTCCACTCCCTTCTAATAAATATCCCGGACAGAGCAAAGTTGTGCGCTTTTTCACCAACAGGCGCGAGAGCGGCCACAACTACTGCACAGACACAGAAATCTTCACCAAAAACGCAGCTTTTCATCTCCAAAGCTTTTCATTATATATTTTTAAAAAATCTAATTATAAAACATATCGAGTATTCCGTTTGGTTTCACATATCCATCCCAATGTAGGTCAATGGACAACAACATAAGAAAAACAATTCACATTTGCGAATGATGGACACAAGCTACTGCACATAGTTACAGTTTTGGTATTATTCATATCCATGACTTATAGTTAGGTTCTCTCTCAATTTCCGTTAGTAAAATACATTTACTTCCAAAAATGTATTCCAATATCATCTATTTGATCTTCAGAAAAAAAACCCATCTGGTATTCTCTTTATCCTGTGGTCCCTCGGTCGCTCTCCGAATATCCGCGCTCTTAACCCTGAGACCATGCGCTTTACGGTAAAAAATGAAACCGGTAATTTCCGGGCAGACTGCAGCTGAAAAAAAAGTCACTCTCCCTCATCATGAGTATGCTTCAAGGAACCAACCACATAAAATTACACACCGCATTAGTGTGTGTGTGTGTTTGTGTGTGTGTTTGTTTGTGTGTGTGTGTGTGTTTAATTCTCCTAGAGCTTTTAAGGTGTTTGTAAAAATAAAATATTTCATTAATAAGGCTAATTATAGTGGAGATGATAGTAAAGCTACAGATGCCATATCTTAATTAGATCATCCTGTTGTTGCAGGAATTGTCCTGCACAGCACGAAATGCAAACATGTGGTATATTCGAGGTTTAAAAAGGCCTCTAAAGTTTGTAATTCAGACTATAATCCACGTAATAACTCACATAATCCTGTTGCGTCAGGATTATTTCCTGCTGTGAGAAACTGGGTAAAATTAAGATACGGCATCTGTGGACCCTCTTGAGTTCAGGTAATATGATATTTGTGATGGTCTGCCAAGAGGTCTAGTACAGTAAGTGAAGAACCTGCTTAGTCTGAATGGTTCTTCAGATACATGGTATGCCTAATGTTCCTCTTAACGTCCTGCCCAGGGGGAGTACTTTTACATCAAGCTGCCTCATGCAGAAACAGCTCCTGCCCTATGGGCCTATTTGGCTCAGACCAGGCTACTTTTTAATGCTCATCTCAGTAAGGAGCGAGGGACAATCCAAGGAAGGAGATATCAGATGATTGATTGCTCTAATCGATCTCACATTTAGAACCATGGGGTGAAAAAGCTGGCTGGCAATTGCGAGTATAAGACGCAGAGAGTGATCGGCCAGGCAAGGAGTTGTGGTGGTGTGATACATAGTGCATACATAATAATATTATATAGCCATAGAATAAAATAATGATGTAGGAGAAGAGGGACAGTAGAAGAAGGACATAGAAGAGAGGACAATAGAAAGAAGAGAGGAGAAAGAAGAGAAGAGAGAGTAAGAAGAGAGACGAGAAGAGAAGAGAAGAGAAGAGAAGAGAGAGAGAAGAGAGAGAGAGACGAGAGAGAGGAGAGGAGAGAGAGAGAGGAGAGGAGAGGAGAGAGAAGAGAGGAAGAGAGGAGAGGGAGGAGAGGAGGGAGAGAGAGACAAGACAAGACAAGACAAGACAGACAAGACAAGACAAACAAGACAAGACAAGACAAGACAAAGACAAGCAGACAAGACAAAAAGACAAACCAGCAAGCGCAAATGTAGAAGAGAAGAAATGAGAAGAGAAGAGAAGAGAAACAGAAGAGCGAGCAAGAAAAGAGAAGAGAAGCCACGAAGAGTCTGAAGAGAAAAGGAAGAAGTGAAGATGAGGAGAGAAAGAGAAGAGAAGAGAAGAGAGAGAAGGGAGAAGAGAAGAGAAAGATGAGAGATGAGAGGAGAGAAAGAGAGAGAAAGAGGACAGTAGAAGAGATAATATAATGATGTGGGAGGAGAGGAGAGGAGAGGCAGTATCAGCAGATTATGTGGAGCTGTAGCAGGAGAATATGTGGAGCTTTAGCAGCAGATTATGTGGAGCTGTGCAGGAATAGGGAGCTGTAGAGGATATGTGGAGCTGTAGCAACAGATTATGTGGAGCTGTAGCAGGACCATACCAAGCGGTGATGCAGCCTTTCAAGATGCTCTCAATGGTGCAGTTGTAGAACATTTTGAGAATCTGAGGGCCCATTCCAAATATTTTCTGCCTCCTGAGGAGGAGCTGCCGTGCCCTCATCAGGTCTTTAGTGATTTGGACACTGAGGAACTTGAAGCTCTTGATCCACTGCAGGCCTGTCGATGTGGGGCGGGCGTGCTGTAGTACATGATCAGCTCCTTTGTCTTGCTGACTTTGAGGGAGAGGCTGTTGTCCTGGCACCACACTGCCAGGTCTCTGACCTATAAACTGCCATCATCGTCATCAGTGATCAGCGCTACCACCGTCGTGTCGTCAGAAAACTTGATGATGGTGTTGGAGTCATGCAAGGCCACGCAGTCGTGGGTGAACAGGGAGTACAGGAGGGGACTAAGCACACACCCCTGAGGGGCCCCAGTGTTGAGGATCAGCATGGCGGATGTGTTGTTGCCTACCCTCACCACCTGGGGGCGGCCCGTCAGGAAGTCCAGGATCCAGTTGCAGAGGGAGGTGTTCAGTCCCAGGGTCCTGAGCTTAGTGATGAGCTTGGAGGGCACTATGGTGTTGAACGCTGAGCTGTAGTCAATGAACAGCATTCTTACGTAGGTGTTCCTTTTGTAAAAGGTGGGTGAGGACAGTGTTGAGTGCAGGAGAGATTATGTCATCTGTGGATCTGTTGGGGCAGTAAGCAAATTGGAGTGGATCCAGTGTGTCTGGGATGATGGTGTTGATGTGAGCCATGACCAGCTTTTCAAAGCATTTCATGGCTACAGATGTGATAGTCATTTTATTATCTGTTCTTTCCATCTCCTGTTCTCTCTCTCTCTCTACATATTTTGTTTATTTTCTTTCCATCACAACAACATTCACTTTGTGTGTGTATCGACTTCTTGGATAAATGTATCTTCTTGTTCAATAGTCTGCCTCCCTGTCACTCACTCAACTGTTTCAGTATGCAACTTTTGTATTGGATGTTCCAGTATACCATTGAAAGTGTTCCCCAGACATCCCTGATGTGAGATAGAATAGGTGCTGAATTGAATTACATTTAGAATGCATGCACCTTCGCAGCTGCAATTTCAGAATACACTTTGTCTCTGTCTAAAAGGGCACCCTATTTCATAGGGCTCTGGTCAAAAGTAGTGTCTCCCAGGTGTCTCCTCGCCAGTGAGTTCCAGTTTCACTTTGACCTGACCCCAGAGATGTCTGCAGCATCATTGTACATCGCATCGCAGCACAGTCACTAAACAATCTAATATATAAACGATGTGTTTCAGTGAGCTAACTCAGATGCTGTAGAGGATAGGGGAGGGGCTAGGGGAGGGGCTAGGGGAGGGCATTACTTTGCCTAAATTGAGGATACCCTCTTTTTGCAGATATATTGTAACTTCCATTAATGTAATTGTCTGCATCACTTCCAATCCCCCATATGGTTTTTTTCTCTCGCATATATATATATATATACACATATATATATATATATATATATATATATATATAGTTGAAGTCGGAAGTTTACATTCACTTAGGTTGGAGTCATTAAAACTCATTTTTCAACCACTCCACAAATGTCTTGTTAACAAACTATAGTTTTGGGAAGTCGGTTAGGACATCTACTTTGTGCGTGACATAAGTAATTTCTCCAACAATTGTTTACAGACAGATTATTTCACTTATAATTCACAGTATCACAATTCCAGTGGGTCAGAAGTTTACATACACTAAGTTGACTGTGCCTTTAAACAGCTTGGAAAATTCCAGAAAATGATGTCATGACTTTAGAAGCTTCTGATAGGCTAATTGACATCATTTGAGTCAAATGGAGGTGTACCTGTGGATGTATTTCAAGGCCTACCTTCAAACTCAGTGCCTCTTTGCTTGACATCATGGGAAAATCAAAAGAAATCATTCAAGACCTCAGAAAAAAATTGTAGACCTCCACAAGTCTGGTTCATCCTTGGGAGCAATTTCCAAACGCCTGAAGGTACCACGTTCATCTGTACAAACAATAGTACGCAAGTATAAACACCATGGGACCACGCAGCCGTCATACCGCTCAGGAAGGAGACGCGTTCTGTCTCCTAGAGATGAACGTACTTTGGTGCGAAAAGTGCAAATCAATCCCAGAACAACAGCAAAGGACCTTGTGAAGATGCTGGAGGAAACAGGTACAAAAGTATCTATATCCACAGTAAAACGAGTCCTATATCGACATAACCTGAAAGGCTGCTCAGCAAGGAAGAAGCCACTGCTCCAAAACCGCCATAAAAAACCCAGACTACGGTTTGCAACTGCACATGGGGACAAAGATCGTACTTTTTGGAGAAATGTTCTCTGGTCTGATTAAACAAAAATAGAACTGTTTGGCCATAATGACCATCGTTATGTTTGGAGGAAAAAGGGGGACGCTTATAAGCCGAAGAACACCATCCCAACCGTGAAGCACGGTGGTGGCAGCATCATGCTGTGGGGGTGCTTTGCTGCAGGAGGGATTGGTGCACTTCACAAAATAGACGGCATCATGAGGAAGGAAAATTATGTGGATATATTGAAGCAACATCTCAAGACATTAGTCAGGAATTTAAAGCTTGGTCGCAAATGGGTCTTCCAAATGGACAATGACCCCAAGCATGCTTCCAAAGTTGTGGCAAAATGGCTTAAGGACAACAAAGTCAAGGTATTGGAGTGGCCATCACAAAGCCCTGACCTCAATCCTATAGAAAATGTGTGGGTCAGAACTGAAAAAGCGTGTGCGAGCAAGGAGGCCTACAA